CACGTGTTTCAAAATAAGTGCCACATACATATATATATATATATATAAGACACATTTATGAAAAAGAAAAGAAAAAATGCGATATAAATACAAAGTAGTTCACAATATAAGAATAATAACTTATAATATGTAATGTCATCCACATAACATTTGTGTCCGTTAAGCCAGCTGGGATAATTGGTACTATTTATTTGATCAGTTTCATGTTATGTACAAATCATTTCACTTCTTGTCCCTTAACCCTCGCAAGCAAGCCAATTTTTTTATCTCAACGGGTTTTGCATTAAGCAATTGTAGGTGCACTGATTTAAAAAGTTATATAGTTTTATCTTTTCCGTGGGGGTTGGGGGTGGGCATTTCTCTGCGATAGATAAGAGAGAGACTGAAATAACCTTTGAACTTTGAATGTCAGTTCAATATTAAATGAAGTAGGTAACAAAATTAGTTTATCAATTAGTACTGATTTTTAATGGAACAGTAAGGTAACCAAATAAGTCATTTGATCATGGCGTCATCATTGGTTACAAGGAGAAGAAAAACAGAAGCTTCGTCTTCCGTTTGTGATACTAAAGTAAGTGTCATCCTATTTTTCATCTTCTGTTTGTAATACTAAAGTAAGTGTCATCCTATATTTCATCTTCTGTTTGTAACACTAAAGTAAGTGTCATTCTATATTTCATCTTCTGTTTGTAATACTAAAGTAAGTGTCATCCTATATTTCATCTTCTGTTTGTAATACTAAAGTAAGTGTCATCCTATATTTCATCTTCTGTTTGTAACACTAAAGTAAGTGTCATTCTATATTTCATCTTCTGTTTGTAATACTAAAGTAAGTGTCATCCTGTATTTCATCTTCCGTTTGTAACACTAAAGTAAGTGTCATCCTGTATTTCATCTTCTGTTTGTAATACTAAAGTAAGTGTCATCCGATATTTCATCTTCTGTTTGTAACACTAAAGTAAGTGTCATTCTATATTTCATCTTCTGTTTGTAACACTAAAGTAAGTGTCATTCTATATTTTCATCGCAAAGCAGGGTTTTATATCTGTGGTGTCGAAGTATAACTTTAGGTCTAAAGCAGGGTTTTATATCTATGGTGTCGAAGTATAACTTTAGGTCTAAAGCAGGGTTTTATATCTATGGTGTCGAAGTATAACTTTAGGTCTAAAGCAGGGTTTTATATCTATTGTGTCGAAGTATAACTTTAGGTCTAAAGCAGGGTTTTATATCTATGGTGTCGAAGTATAACTTTAGGTCTAAAGCAGGGTTTTATATCTGTGGTGTCGAAGTATAACTTTAGGTCTAAAGCAGGGTTTTATATCTGTGTTATACTCGACACCTTTAGGTCTAAAGCAGGGTTTTATATCTATGGTGTCGAGTATAACTTTAGGTCTAAAGCAGGGTTTTATATCTATGGTGTCGAAGTATAACTTTAGGGCTAAATTCCACAAACAAGCTACACCATGAAGCAGCCACTTTCAATCCTCTGTTAGTTTATTAGTGACAATTAGCAGTAATGTTCAAAAATAGTCCCCGATAGCTCTCAGCAGTATGCCCGAGGGCTTATTACCCTAGAATTCAGGGATCAGTTTCATGGGAAATCGAATTCTGGATTTTATCGTTGTAAGTGCGCAAACTTACCACTGGGGGGACAAGAAAAGCTGACACGGCTGAATGGTCTAAATATTATACTCAGTATATAAGACAACAAATAAGTATAAACTGTTATAACTGCAAGAAGAATAAACCAATAAGGCAGTGACATAAATATCCAAATTAATGAGTCAGAAAAGCATTTGTTGAAACTATTTCATTTATAAAAATGTAGTCTAAGTTTTCTTAATATTTCTTCACATAAAGACTTCAATAATCTTGCCATTGTCAACCAATCATGTTTGTGTGATGTTACATAGTTAAACAATCTTACTTGTTCACGTCTTCAGAAAAACATGTTGCAAACTGTTCGTAGCAAATTAAATGCCTAAAATACTAACAAAGACAAATACATTTGTTACTGTTCGATACTAAATAAATAATCTACGTTTCTTTAAACGAAGAACACGTATTTCGTTAGCCAAATAAACAACGTTTCTTTAACTAAATAACACGTGGCGTTACTCCAAATAAACAACGTTTCTTTAACTAAATAAACAACGTTTCTTTAATCCAAATAACTCGTGTCTGTAATCCAAATAATACGTATCTGTAATCCAAATAACACGTGTTTTTAATCCAAATAAACAACGTTTCTTTAATCCAAATAACACGTTTCTTTAATCCAAATAACACGTGTTTTTAATCCAAATAAACAACGTTTTTTAACCAAGTAACACGTGTCTTTAATCCAAATAAACACCGTTTCTTTAACCAAATAACACGTTTCTATAATTCAAATAAACACCGTTTCTTTAACCAAATAACACGTTTCTATAATTCAAATAAAAACGTTTTTTTAACCAAATAACACGTTTCTTTAAACAAAGAACACGTATTTCGTTAGCCAAATAAACAACGTTTACTTTAACTAAATAACACGTGTCTTTAATCCAAATAAACACCGTTTCTTTAACCAAATAACACGTTTCTATAATTCAGATAAAGAAAGTTTTTTGTCCAAGTAACCTACGCGTATTAAGTAAATAACCTACATATTTTAAACTAAGCAATACATTCGTACTTTTAGCTAAATAACCTGCGTAATTTGAACTAAATAATTTTGAAGTTTCTTTCTGAACCTAACTTCATTCCTTACTTTAATAGAATAAGCACGATGTCTTCTCAATAATCCCAAAATATAATATCTCCAGTTGTTTGTTTGTTTTACGCAACTCATTATGTTACCAATACCATTCAAGCAAACAAATCGTACTGAAACATCATACTGTAGTACAAAGATTCCAATCAGTCAGGTTAAGGGACCAAGAATGATGTGCGGCTCCTTAGATAATTACATTCAAAAATCACAAAGTAATAATTATTATCCCGTTCCTGGTGAAGTTTTCCCCTTACTTGGCCGTGAGACAGGAGTTAATCGTCACAATCGCGCCCCCTGCAGATTTATCAAATTAACCCCTTTTCCGGGGCCGCAGTAACTAGAAGAACATACAAAAATATAGGTTCACTTTACCTGTAATGACCGCTGGTCAAGGTGTACGATATCAGTAGGCAGGACCCGCCAGATGTCATGCCCGAGGTATAAGGAACTTCTCAGTTTGGGGCTTGCAGTAGGTATGAGTGTAGCGAACCGTCACGTGAGATGAAATGCCGAGAAACCAGCGGGGTTACCTTCTTACAGTAACTAAAGGTTATTGATAACTGTGCAGCTTCTAAGTTCCATTGTATCTAAAAGATTGAAGAAAAGTGGCAGCGTTCCACGTGCAGTACCAGCAGTGCAGTATAGGGGGGGGGGGGACAGTAGAACCTTCAAAAGCTGCCCAGCTAATTCTGACTGACTCGGGTTTAGCACATATCACACTTTATTGTGGAGCAGTGAAAAGGCACCGGGGTGACAGTGACAAGCGACTTTTACCCCGCTACACATACACAGGTGCATACCGAAATCTTTCTATACACTGGTTGCCACCGTTTCTTTCAGTTTAAACCTCCGAAGACCTTATATTCGTCCTCACGTGCACGGTGGAATCCCAACACATCCACGTCTGTATGTCTATGTACACAAGCTAGCTTTCTCTCCAGTTTAAAGCTAAGCGTTTGCGTAAACAGGGGTGCAGCCCGGATAAGTCGTACTTGTGTATGCATACAATGCTGGATCACACTGCTCTGCTCAAACGTCCAAAAACACGAGGAAATGCTCTTCTATCACTCATATTAGAGCTATCATATCGAAATAAAGTTTAGTTAATCACGACACACTAACAGTGCTATTCTAACACTCATATTGGAGCTATCACATGGAAATAAAGTTTAGTTTATCACGACACACTAACAGTGCTATTCTAACACTCATATTGGAGCTATCACATGGAAATAAAGTTTAGTTTATCACGACACACTAACAGTGCTATTCTAACACTCATATTGGAGCTATCACATGGAAATAAAGTTTAGTTTAT